GTAAGGCTGCAAGGTAATGGCCACTCCTTCAAGAAGATAAAAGGCAGCTGTGAAGCGAACGTTCTTTGCAGGAAGCAAGGATGTTTTGAAACCCAGCCTCGTGGACATTACAGTATTTTAAGTTGGTATTTAAAGACTCGTGTTGTGAAATATTTCTTATCTGTGATTCTTGGCAGTCTCGTACAGTTTTGGCAAGGTTTGTGCTTATCAAAGTTAATTAGTTTGCAGCAGCCTTTTAACCGGGGATTCGTAAGACTCATTAAAAGGTTTCTGTTTCCTTTAGTTATTATTTGTCTTATTGGAAAAGGGTTTGGGTCAGAACACATATGTATTTTAGTAGAAGAAAGGCAAAGACAAAAACAGGAAATACCTATTGCGTTCATGTCCCTAAGTATGTGGTGCTTACGTAAAGTACAGGTAGTCTTCGACTTACAACAGTTCATTCTGTAACCATTCAAAGTTACAACAGCACTTAAAAAAGTGACTTATGACCATTTTTCACACTTACAACCATTGCAGGATCCCCAGGGTCATGTGATTTACATTCAGATGCTTGATAACTGGTTCATAGTTATGACGATTGCAATGTCCTGGGGTCATATGATCACCTTCTGATAAGCAAAGTCAATGGGAAAGCCAGATTCACTTAATAATGGTGTTACTAATTTAACAACTGCAGTGATTCACTTAACAAATGTGACAAGAAAAGTCGTAAAATGGGGCAAACTCACTTAACAAATTTCTCATTTAGTAACATAAATTTTGGGCTCAACTATGGTCAAAGGTAGAGGGCTACCTGTAGTGAACAAATTCAGGTAGTCCTTGAGTTATGACTGTATTGGAGCCTTCCTGTCATGATTGTACGTCATGATGGTTATAAAATGGGTTATCGCTTAACTGGACCCATTGTATGATCTTTTTTGCGGCAGTCGTTAAGTGAACTTAATGGTCATTAAGCAAAGCAATATTACACTTAAAGGGCATTTTTGCCAAAAACCAGAAGTAAATGTCAGGTTTGGCAAAAATGTCGTAAAACACAATCACATCACTGCAGGACACCTATAGCCATAAATGCAGGCTAGTTACTAAGCACTGGAAATGCGGTCATGTGAATGTGGGCTGGCCACCGGAACCAGATCGTAAGTACCCCACTGAGGTGCATCATAATTTCAGGTAGTTGCTAAGCAACCAGATGTAAGTCAAGGATTATCTATAAAAGGAGTCTATTTTATTTATGGCTAAATATTGAAAAGTATTATCTATGTTGAGATTTGTTTTTAATGTCAGTGGTTTAAAGCTGAAAATATAAACTTTATGAAGTTCAAGAAACTATATTCATGCAGATTAAGAAACTGTACAGCACAAGTTTATATTGCACAAATAATTTCATAACAAAATTAGAGCTCAATATCTTAAGACAAACTTTTATCAAAATACTGAAATAACAGCAGAAACTATGCAAAAGCATTTGTTAGAACACCCTGTAGCAATATTTTCATATTCCTGAGTCAGTTTTTCAAAATTTTCCTGCTATTAAGAACCAATGATCAACATACATACACATGTATAAAATAGAATATTTTTCATAGTTTATGAAATGTATGCCTGCAGAATAAACTTCATATTAAGCAGGTAAGCTTTTTTGTAACTTAAGTACATTTATTTATTTTGCAAACATGACCAAATACATATACATATAAT